CAGGGAAAACTTCTAGCAGCTTCTCACAGAAGCCACCCCTGCAGCCCCCCCACTACCAAGACCTTGCCACACAAACCCAATACAGCACCTTATTGCGGCCTTTCAGTGCATAAAGGAGGCTTATAATAAAGACGGAGAGAGAGTTTTTACTAAGGCCTGTAGTGACAGGACAAGGGGCAGTGGTTTTAAATTGTAAGGTGGTAGATTTAGACTGGATATAAAGAAGAAATTTTTTATGATGAGGGGGGTGAGTCACTGGCACAGGTTGGCCAGACAAGTTATGGATACCCTATCCCTGGAAGTGTTCAAGGTCGGGTTGGATGGGGCTATGAGCAACCTGATCTAGTGGAAGATGTCCCTGCCTGTGGCATGGGGGTTGGACTGGATGAGCTCTAAGGTCCCTTCCAATCCAAACCATTCTATGACTCTGTGAAAAAGGGTTACAGTCAGAGCTGCTTCCCCACTCAGCCCGGACTTTGCTGCTCTGTTCTGCCCTTTGCCTGCAGTCATGCTGTGGGAAGGCAGCGACTGAAGGTGTCTGCTGTGCTTGTGGTCAGAGGTTGTCCTATTCCTCTGCCTCGATCTTTGGAGTACAGTGGGTGAAACAAGAGACAGCAGCAGTGTGATGCCCCAGGGCCAGGAGGTGCTGGGAAGCAGCTTTGGCAGTGACACTGCTTGTAGGGAGACAAATCCCTGCCTCGCTGCAAAGTCTCAGGTAAAAAAAAAAGAATTGCTGGCCAGAGACCTCATTCAAAAGAAACAAGCTGGGCTCATGAGAAAGAGAAGAGAAAAGCTTTGTAGATTTTGACTGGTTTCGACTTTCCCCTGTGGTGCTTTTTATCTGTGCATGAAAAGCTTCTTGTCCTCAAAGTCCCCATGCTGCTTGCCAGGGCCTTCTTTCACCTCTGCCTTTGCTCCCAGTAAGTTGATGTCCCCACCTGTGGCTCTCAGTCTAGACCTGAGCCCCAAGCTGCCTTGGAAGGCCATCCCAAGGAATTAGAGCTGCAGAGCAGGGACATGGGGCATAACTGGGTGGATGAGAAGGACATTCAGAGGAAGGACAGAAGACCGCAGGGAGGGCTGCAGGGAGGGTAGGTGAGAACTGGGCTAGAAAAGCATCCTCAGCCAATGAGGACAACTAGTCCAATGTCCATCCTCCGTGCCGCTGCAAGGAATCGGGCAGAACGCCTGGACATGTGCAGGTTACTGCCTCAGTGCTGGATGGAAACACAGGGACGCACATGTGTTGGTGATCCCGAGTGAGCAAAATTAGTTTTCTTTCAATGCCAATCACCATGCCCTCCTGTAAGGGCCAGCATTGAGCTTTGCTGTGTGTTGGTACAGTGTTGTGATGGGGTTTCTTACAGAATCGCAGCCCAGGAAGGAGCTGGTACTGCTACAGTGTCAGGCAGAGATGCAGGATGCAAATTGCTAGGAAATTAGTGCTCTATCGTTCAGGGAACTCTTTACTTAATGTAAGAATTAAACGAGTGTGTAATGACCGTTCAGCGCATGTTACGTGTTCTCTCTGCCCAGTCACAGATGGTGCTTTTATCACTGCTCTCAGCTATAGGTTTTTCCTCTCTTGTTTGGCCCATAGTGTCCCAAAATATTTTTTCCAGGCTTATCTGACTAATAAAACCCTCTCCAGGCCAGATAAACAATTAATTTAGGAAATAATTAGGGAGTAACACCAATGACGGTGTCTAAATGCAGCAGGAAAGGGGTAAGGTCCTTCCCCTCAGCCTCATGTGCTCCAGGGCCAGCTGTGGGTCCTTGAAGAGAGGTGGGTAATGTGGCAAAGTCGGGCCTCAAATTTCTAGGGCTGGACTTGAACTTTTCCCATCCAGCTGAATATCCTTCCTTCCAAAAGCCAAACGGTATCACTGGAGAGGGCAGGAGTTTGGTCCATCAGCCCCCAAAAGAAAATGGGGATGAAGCACTAGCAGAGTGCAAAGCTGACGGTCTCCTGGGTGGCTTCTCTGCCCTCAGAGCTCAGCTCTGCATCAGCTGCTGCTCCATACACTCCTATCTGCTCCATACTCCCTTTTGCTGAGTTCTTCCCCTGGGGCTGATGCTTACTTACGTTGCTGTGAGCTGTTCCACGCTCCTGGATTGCAGATCATGTCCGTGTGCTGACAGGCACAGTCTCCAGCAATTTCTTTTAAGAGGGTAGGGGGGCAGACAGGGATTTCCATGTTCCCAGAACTCTCCAACAAATATCAACTTGGTCCCAACAGAGCTGACCATCCTCTTTTCACTGCTGGATGCTCTTCTCGCTGGCCAGTAGCTTGGCGACATCAGCACCATAAACCATAGCCCCAGTGATGACCCCAGGTCTCAGGTTCTTTCATTTGGTCCTTATGGGTCCCTACAGTGCTGGAGCTAACTCATAGCTTTGCTCCCTGGTACAAGAACTGGGTGTTTTAGAATGGTTTAGGGTGTCTGCAAAGATATAGCAGTGTCTGAATGTATATTTTGTTTCTTTCCCTGTGGAGCAGAGCTCTTCTAAAAGCTCTGCAGAGGGCACTGGTGCTGTTTGTGGATCAGATTAGTCAGGCAAGTCTGGGCTGGGAGGCAGAAAGCTGGTTGTCAGGGTGTCCGCGGGGAGGGAGGTTTAAAGGATGATGAGAAATAATGATTCTCCTCTACTCCCGGCTGGGTGTGCGGGCTGCAGAGAAAGCATGGAGCAGTGGTGGGAAAGGGCTTCCAAACAGGTAGTGTCAGTTTGGGGGCAGGAGCGGAAAACCAGCCTTATGCTTGTAGGGCACCACCTCTTTGGCACCGTCCCCATGGCAATGCCCAGCCTTCATCTGGCAGGAGAAGTGCTCTGAAATGTCTCCTCTGTGGATGTTCCAGCCTGGTGCTCTAGGTCCAGACTGTCTCCACATGGAGCCTCAGCACCCATGCCCTCTACATCTTTCTGTTCTGTAGCTTCGTCCTTTCTAGAAGGTGGAGGAAGAACTGCTCCGTGCAGTTTTGCTTTTGAAGTGAATCTGTCCTTATTCCCTTCTGATTCTGAGGCTTTTAGCTTCAGATCCTCCAGATCTGGCCAGGGAGTGGGACTCCTAAGAAAGGCAAGGAACAGGATGGGAGTAGGATGAAGCAAGAAATCAAATCTTGCCTCCTCCAAGATGACTCTCATCTGTCTGGTGTCTGATGACATGAACCTGATTTGTCCACATAGTTCAGAATTGGAGGTGCAGAGGTTACAGAAAACCTCTCTCATCAGGGCTGGGCATGTGGAAATCTTTTCCATCTCTCCTGAGAGGCCTGAAAACATATTTCCCAGCAGTGGCATCTCTTTCTGATTTTGAGGGCTCTTTCAGTGAGGGCTTTTGTCAGCAGCAGTGTCCACTGTTCATGGACCTCTGATCTGGAGTCCTGAGCATCCACAGAAAGTCCAGCAACCTTTTGACTATATTGCCAGGAGATCAACCTTGTACCTTTTCCTTGACGTTCAACATACTGCCTTCTGGGCAGATAAAGGACTATACATGCAGGCCGTAAGCATGTCCTCCCAAAAGGAAGAAGAGTAAGGCAGATAAATCCTTGTTAACCTGTGGATAATATGCAGTTCTTCAGTCTGACGGACTCCCCACAGTTATGAAGTTGTCTTGCTGTATCAGTGGATGCCCTTTGGTGCCCTTAAAGGTCCTAGTTTGAAACTTAGATGCACAAGATAGTCAACATCCTGCTGTGCCTTAGATGTAGGAATGGGGACACTGTGATTAGAAAGTGCTGGCCTTTTTTTCAGTGATATCTTGGTAACCTGAAACGAAGCACATTTGTCTTTATTGCAAAGTAAAGGATTTGTATTTCTTTGTTTCACAGCAGTAACTTTCCAATGAAATGAGGTATAATATGTAACACATTCCTTCCAATAAATAAAGTCGATTTTCCCTAAGCAAACTACTAGTTTAGGTATTTCATTCTTTCTGTCTCAACTTCCAGGGTTTTTTTCTGAACCCTTTGCTGAAAACAAAACCAAAGCAGATTGAAAACCTGCTTCTTACCACATCCTCCTAATTTTTCTTTATATTTCCCAGCATATGAAGAAAAGGGGACACCCTGTCCTTCTGTCAGAGGGTAACACGTGACTTGGCCTGGCTGACTTCAGGCTTTGGGACAGCTTTGTGGTGCCACTCATTGCCCAGGCTGGTGGGTGAGTAAACACAATGCTCAGAGATACTCTAAGCTTGCTCTGCTGGGGCTAGGCTGTATTCAGAGTCCTCTGAGAGTAACCCTGGGTGCCAGGAAGGGGCCAACCCAGAGATAACACCCCAAGGATGGAGCCCTGGGAGTTGCACCACAGTATCTGAGCTGCTTAATTGACTGTTCTGCTCTGATAGCGCTTGTTTCTGGTGTCTGCTGGTGAAACCCTTATTCTGCCTTCCTCCAGAAAAGATTGCCTCTCTGGGGATTCCTGGGTTCAGAACCTCCTGGTCTGTGGCCTTGGCCGTGATGATAGGGATGAGGAGCACCATGGCTCTGCATACAGACCCTCCAGGTAAGCAGAGATCCTGGATATTCAGGGACAAGGGAAAGCAGCAGGAAGATATCCATCCTGACCTTGTCCCATGTGTCTCCCCCCAGAGCATTTCTTCTGATAGATGATGAGTCCCACCACAATGAAGTCTAAGCCCAGCACAAAACTCAGCGTTCCAGTCACCTTCTTGCTCACGGCAGATCCAGAGAATAGAATCATAGAATCATTTGGTTGGAAAAGACCTTTAAGATCATCAAGTCCAACCATTAACCTAACACTGCCATTCCACCACTAAACCATGTCCATAAGCATGTTCCTGTTGGAAGAGCAGTCCAGAGAGTTAAGGCCCAGGCTAGACAGGGGTGTCACTACATGAGTATCACTCAGCAGGTGAGGTACCTGGACAGGTTCATCTGGGAACAGCAGGAGATCTGTTCCTACAACAGTGAGGTGGGTTTCTACATGGCTTGCATAGAGTTGGGACGGGCAATTGTTGAGTATTGGAACAGGCTGCAGTGGCTTGGCTACCTGTCGGCTTCAAGGGAGAAATACTGCAGCTATAACTGGAGGAGGACTCAGAGTGTGATGGACAGGAGAAGTGAGTCTTTGGAGGGGAGGGGGAGAGTGGCACGGGGAAGCTTGGCTTCCTCAGCCTGGGACCACATTTAACCTCTTCTGCCATCTCCCTGTTTGCCAGCCACTGGATCTCAGAAGAGGTCAGTGGATGGTGGGAGATAGGTCTGAGTTCAGTGGGGCATGGGGAGAATGAGTGCCGTGGATTGGAGCAGCTAACATCTTTATTATGGGTCAAAGACTGAAGCAAATGACTTGCAGGAGCTCTGCAGAAAAGCATGGGACAAGCCTAACAAATGCACGTCCCCCCCACCAATTCCTGGAGCAATGGACCCACCTGAGCTGCGGGAGAAGCAGGGTGCATCTTAGAATCATAGAATCTTTTCCAACCTAAACAATTCTATGATTCTATGATTCCAACAGAAGCATGCTCTGGATCTGCTGTGAGCAAGAAGGTGACTGGCACGCTGGGTTTTGTGCTGGGCGTAGGCTTTGTTGTGGTGGGACTCGTCATCTATCAGAAGAAAAAGAAAGCTGAATAATTCATGAGCTAAGCAGAAATCTGTTCTTAATGGGGCTGCAGAGAGATGTTTTAAAGCCTGTAAGGCTTCACTAGAATTTAGATTTACCATGATAATTTCCTTGAGTTCCCAGCATTCAAGTGGGTTTTATATGGTCTAATCCAATATCCACAGAAGTCAGTGATAGCTTTTAATTTATCTTAACTGATGTTAGATTGGGCTTTCAGTGATGAGAAGCCATTTTCGAACTATCATCAGCTGCTGAAAGGTCAGCCCAGTCCTCTGAGATGCAGTCCTAGGCTGTGGTTATGGTTTCTTATGAGTATCAAATTAGCTACTTCATTCCCAAATGTCCCCACATTGCTTTGTTGCAGACATATTTTGTAGGCTCTGGAAGCAAATACATTCATACTTATTTATAGAAGGATTAAATACTTTTCTTTTGAAACTGTGCAGAGGAGAAAAGAGAGAACATTATCTTCCAGAAAGCTGCATTCTTGTTCTCAAAATGTTGGTTTGCTGAGTAACAGCATCTTACCCCAGCCTTTGCTTTCTGCTTTCTAATAATTTCAGATTATTAGAATCACAAACAAGTACTGGCTAAGTCATTGTTGTGTGATATCTTCCATGGTGCAGCAAGGAATATCCCTCAGCTGAATCCCGTACTATTATTTTTCCCTAAGCAAACTACCTTAAGCAGCCCCATCCAGTGTAGCCCATTGCTCCCATTAATTCTCAGCCTATGGGTTTAGGTCACCAGCATCAGGAGGACCTGAATTCCCTGCCCACCATCACAGCTATTATTAACTAGGGAAGAGAAGGCCTGGTTCTGAAAAGGCTGAAACTCCCTTCCTTGGGCCCCAAACATCCCTTTCCCAGTGAACTATGAGGAGAACGGCATGCAGATTTGACTCTATAGGAATCAATTTTCCAGCCTGCCCAGAACCTGAGCTCATTGCACCTGTGTTGTTCAGGGCCCTGCATTATCCAATGGATAAATGCTTTGGATAGCATCTCAGAAACTGGATTCCCCTACCATAAATTAATCCCCTACCAGAACAGCCTCTGGTGCCCCTGCCATGGGCTCTCTGAGGCTCAGCTGACCCCATGGATCTTAGCAGCTCTGTCCGGTGGCTTAGCACAGGACCACCGTGCGCTTGGAGGTGACGGGCAGAAGGAGCAGGCTGGCAGCTGCTCTGGGACTTCAGAGTTGAGATGCGTCCACGGACTGTTAGGATGAACATGGAAACCACAGGAAAGTCATTCAGGGGAGCGAACGTGGGAGACTCTAACGGGAGCCTGGAGGAGCTTTTCCTATCCCTCAATCGAGCTGCACGGAAACTAGCAATGCTCCAAAGCCTGTGTGAGAAGTTCCTCCATTTCTGCTCTTGTTTTCCCCGCAGCGTTGCCATGCTTGTCTGCTGCAGTCACAGAGGAAGACAACATGGAAAGGGACACACTGCTGGGTGACTAAGTCCATGGCAAACCTCTGTCAATCTGTTTCTGTCTCTCAGAGTTAAGAGGAGCTGTTGCTTTCTGCTTTTTTCCAACACTCTTCCCTTTCCTCCTACTGTTGCCCACATTAGTAGGGTACTGCCTCTTCCCCTCTCAGCAGAATTGTGAATTTGGAACTTGGCAGGCTTGCAAATTCAAGAGTAATCTCTGGTCTTGAGATTGGGCCATTGAGGCTAGGATGGGCTCTGCTCCTGCATGAAGCTGCAGGAGGAAAGCTAGGGCTTCCCAGCCCTGCACACACCCGGAGAGAGACAAGGGGAGTAAATAATAGCATTCCTAAGGAATGTTTTGTACTTTGAGCGATTTGTCTAAGGGTCTGAATGGATTTAATAACTGAGAGCTAATTAAATGTACTAATTAACCCGGTGTTTAATCTTGGCTCTTCGCTAGCTTTCTGTGCTGCTGAAGCAGAGACGTAGTCCCATATATCATGACATCCAGCCACTTTGCTTAATTGTGATTCCTCTGCACATGGTGCGGGCACTCAGCCGCTAAGGTGATGAGAGGAACACGAAAGCCCACGTACAGGAGAAAATTAGAGGGGTGAAGCCAGGCCTGTGTGACTAACAACCTGTGAGATTATTTCCATGAAGAGGATGTTGACAGTCTAATTTGTTTCCCCTCCCCATTATCACCGGTTTGTTCTCATTGACGCCTCTGTTTTGCTAAAGGGGATGGGAACAATCTGCTTCTGCGCACATGATGGCAAAATGGCCATGGTATTCCTTGGTCCCATCCTTGTCACCATGGCTCTGAGCTGCTCTGCTACAACCAGGAGGAGGAGGCTGCTCACTTTCTCTTCTCACCATACTTCCCCATGAGAGGGGGAAGCAGAACAACAAGTAGGACTACCACACTGGGCTTTAGGAGAGCAAACTTTGGCCTCCTCAGGGACCTACTTGGAAGAATTCCATGGGCTATGGCTCTCAAAGGTAGGGGAGTCCAGGAGAGCTGGCTGCTGTTTAAGCAGCTCTTCCTCTGTGCTCAGGACCGGTGCATCCCTGTGAGTAGGAAATCAATTAAATGAGGTAAGAGGCCTGCATGGATGAACAAGGAGCTCCTAGTGAAACTCAAAGAAAAGAGTAAGCTCCATGGAATGTAGAAAGAGGGTCAGGCCACTTGGGAGGCATACAGGAATGCTGCCAGAGCATGTAGGGAAGCAACTAGAAAGGCCAAGGTTCACCTGGAACTAAGTCTGGCAAAGGACATCAAGGATAACAAGAAGGGCTTCTTCAAGTATGTCAGCAGTAAACGTAAGACCAGGGGTAATGTGGGACCGCTGCTGAATGAAATGGGTGCCCTGGTGACAGAA